GGCCGCGGCAGGGCTTCAAGAAATGAGCGATATCAATGAACGAAAGAGTAAGGACATACGAGCGTTTGTTTCTCCGCGTGAGATACCGGTACCCAGGTACTTTGATATGTTTGCGAAGAGGCTAAATCTGCCATTGTACATCACGGGTGAGACGGTGATGTAAAGATCATACATATGATAGAATCGAACATCTTTGCAACGGGCGCATAGGCATAGACACAGGCGCATTTACTCACAAATCTATTCGGAAGGGTCTTGGCTTGTGCCTCGCGCGTATGTTCCGAGCCTTCAGAACTGCGGAAGATGAGTGATAGTAGTGAAGGGAAGATGAGGGATCTACAAATTTCAAACCCTTGTTACCCCACGGGACGTCAATGACGTGTAGAGGAACCCAGAGGCGTCATCAACGTGAACTGGAGAGTATACTGCGGTACCGAGATCACTAGTAGTCCCAGTCGCAAGCCCAATAATAAGTGAGCGATCGGAAGATAAAGGGCTTGTTTCCCCGGAGAGCAAGGTCCGAACGCCGGTATTGTATATGTCCGCGCAGAGACGAGTGTGTGAGTGTGGGTTCACGTTCTGGGCTCGTTACGTTCCAACCTTCTTGTCGACGCTTTGAAGGTTCCGGTCGATGTCATATGACGGTCACGCGAGCTCCGTCCAACCCACTCAGAATACACTCAAGCGAATAGGAAGCCCCCTTGAGATACGCACATCAGATAAGCAGAGAGCAAGTAGTAACGTTATTGAATACCACAGGGGAAGATAAACGGACGCGTGTCTGTGACTCGGAGGTATGTTTAGAACCCGGGAAAATAACACTTGTCCGAGTCGCGACAGCTAGAATTGGGCCGTCCGGCACTTGAGTGATATCAAAGATGAACAACACACGAGCGCTTGTTTTCTCGTGTGATATTGGTACGCCGGGACGACTAGACTTGCGCACAGGCGCCTGAATGTCATACATATTCGGGCTGAGGCGGCATCGTGGAATTGAATAATATAATTGCGACAAGCGCTGAAAAAAATTAGGAGACGCCGGTAAAAGGAACATTTTATTTACTCACATATCTATTGGGAAGCGCTGGTATAGCATCAAGATCGATTAATGAACAGAAGGGGGTCGAAGATGAAGGACTTACAAGTGCCTGTTATTATGGGGGATCAATGCGTAGAAGGCAGGGTTTCATCTGCAATCGAACAGGATTAACACAGCGAATCGCAGAGGACGAACAGGAGATGTTACTCGGCAACGCCGAGCTCTATGACGAACGGCGTTAAAAAATCCGTGAGATGGAGTCGACGCAACAATGGATTTACTCACGAATTGCCGCCATGCGTTCAGAATGAGGTGAAGATGATGACCATTTTTTGTTCGTGGGTACCATAATCATGAGCGCTGCTGTGGAACCCAGAAATTAAGATATTAATTAATGAAGAGAAGCTACCAGTGCCTGTTACCCCAAGGGAGATGTGGAACCACCGAAGTTGAGCGATTTTAATAAATGAATGATATGAAGGGACCTACAAGTGCTTATTACCCCGGAGGTATCGGAGTAGTTCACGCAGCATCGGAACTGAGGTCCTGACGCAATGTCAAAGTTCAATGGCTGGGGTAAGCGATATTAATGAAGTGTCGATGAAGGCGGTGCGCTTATACTTTTGAGATGTATATGTGTCTGACCGTTGTAGTCTACCGGGATAAGACGGCGACGTGGTATTAGATAGCCCTTTGACAAGCGGCGTCAAAAGGCTCGAAGACATTGACAGACGAAATAATCACAAATCTGTTCGGACGGGTTGTGCCAAGCAGGAGTCGCAAGGGCCGCTGTAGAACTGCCGAAGATGAGCGATATTAACGAACGGGAGATGAAGGACCCACAAGCGCCTGTTACCCCGCGATACGTCAATGATCATGCGAGTTGAATCCGAGGCGCTATCGCTGTCGTGCGGAACCGGAAAGGATGAGTAGAGCATCATTAGCCGTCAGCCGAATGTATAATCAGGCTTTGATGATCCATGTTCGCTCAGAGACAAGTGAGTAGCCCATCATGCGTCATCAGATTCCGAAATCGGGCTGAGACGGTGAGAATACATGCTAACCGAAAAATATAAAAAGACTGGATAAATAGAGTCATGCGTCTACTTACCAATTCCCGCCACGGATTGAGATGACGGCAAGGTAACAGAATTGCTCTGGATAGAATGGGCCACTGTAGAAGCGCCGGAGCTTGTAGAAAAGAGCGAGATTAATTAATGAAGCGAAGCAAGTGGCAGAAGATGAAGGACCTACAAGCGCCTGTTTAAGTGTTACCCCAGAGTCAGGTACAGTTAGACACCGATAACGTATACAGGGAGTACAGGTGATGTCGCGTCACTTTGGGTAATCTAGGAAGTAACATGTCGTAGGTCCGGGAGTGTGACAATAAGGCCTAACGCGGATTTGCAGATACTCCTTCCGTCCCAGGCCGTTAACGTGAGACCTGGAATGTCACGTCGGTGGCTTTCACTAGTGGCCCCGTCCGACGGGGACCCTACAATATGAATAAGTTTGGATTCACCGCATGTGACACTGGCCCCGACACAGCTAAACGAGTCTAATCCATGAAAAGTTGTTGGCGCTGCAGCATCCAGAGAGTCTTGTTTGAGAGGGCAAGCTGTAGAATGAAGCGCGTCAAGAACCCGCGGAGTCCCAATCTAATCTGCTTCCGCGGGCAGGCACATGCCGGGCACGTGCCGCGCAGATAAAGAAGCGTCACAGCCGAGATCGCACTTCTTTTGCAACAGAACCGCCATGGGCCTCAAGGCAATTGTTTCCACGCAACCTTGACTCGATATATATACCACCGCCGTTCTCTACAATTATCTTTATTGTTCTCCCTCTTTCACACTCTCTCTTCATGACGGAATACGACTATTCACCAGAGGCTGCTGAGCGCTACCAGGCGACTATGCGCCGTATCTCTCGCTGGGTGGATGATGCTGAGGCCCATGCTTGCGAGTACAAGTCGCCTTTTGTTCCACGTTCGGATGTTGGGGATGACGATGTTCCACCTCAGCCTGTGCTTAGCAGAGGTATAAGCCATCGAGTACCTCCGCCGTTGTACGCTCCAGTGCCGGGCCCCATGCCGCCACACAGCCATGGTCCTGCGCCGCCTCCTCCCCGTCCCCAACCAGTCCCACTACATGGCCCTGCCCCTCCCCCGTCTCATTCGCGCCACACACATTCACCTACCCGTCGTTCCTCGACTCGCCATTCATCATCACATCAATCTCACTCAAAACACCGCTCCGGGTCGACATTCTACATCTCGCCTACACCTACGCCGCCTCCAGTGCCTTATTATCCGGGCTATAATAACCCGTATTACCAAGCGCGGCCATCCCCATACGCTCCTCCTCCACCGCAACCGCAGTACTACCGCAGCGGCGGAAATGTAGCGTACGCCCCGCCACAGGGAGGATACGTAGTAATCCCTCAGAAAGGTCGTTCCTCAAAAGTCATAGTGAGTATTCTCCCTTTCGTGTATCCCTGAGATCTGACGTTTATTCGAGTAGTCTTCTGTCCAACCGGTCGTGTTTTCCACATCTTCATCGACGGATTCAGAGCCGCTACCGCAGCGTCAGCCTCAGTCAGGCTCGTTCCTGCAGAAGGTCTTTCCCTTTACCCATGGTCGTCGTGATAGCCCTGCCCCCGCCGCCTATGATCATCAGCGAGAACACCGCCCGCATCATCATCATCACCACCACCACCATCGGCATAGTTCATAACGTCTCTTTCTTTTTCTTGGGTCTCGCATCAATACTATATAAACTGGACGCTTCGTATAGTATATATATCTTATAGGTAATGCGTACTGGATGTCCATTTCATTATTCGGGGATTGTAATAATATCATCACGTCCCGACATCGGGGGCGTAGGAGCTTGGCGTCGTTCTAGTCCCCGTCGATTGGCAATTATCTTGACCTGGGCGCATCGCATGCAGTTCATACGCTAGCCCGCTTTCCTCCGACGCCCGCTAGCATGTGCAGCATTACTCAACTGGTGGCCGAATTTAGACGTTGGCGGTGTCGTTGGAGGGAATCCCGTTTTTTCCCGATAGAAAAGGGCTGAAGGATAACGCTAAGGTGTAGAGGCATGTGCTTCTGGTGGAACGCCTATAAATAACTGGGTCAGAGACGCGCTAGCATTCAAGTGGTGACCGAATTCGACCTTGGCGCTATCGTTAGCGGCTTGGGGGACACGCGCACGTTTATTCACACATGGATTTATTCAAGGTCGGCGCTAGAATTGCTATGGATAATTGTACAGATACACGCGCTCATTGTACATAACATTTTGGATATCAGAGTAAAGAAGTCTTGGTGGTACTAATGGGGTTTCATCAGACCCGAGTCAATCACAAATGCGGGGAAGGGTACACGTACCAATTTAGATGAGTGGGGGAACCGGTCCTTGCATGCGAGATGAATAAATAATTGACCGGGGCGTTGGAAGACGTGGGGTGTGGCGTGAATTTGTTAGAATAATGAAAAATGCCCTGAAAGATCCTCGGTTAGCGAGGGTGCAAGCAACTGCGAGATAGGCAACGAACCTTCTGCGTTAGCGGTGCTTCTTGCCCTCGCCGGTAGCGATGAGAACGACGGCCCAGATGCTGCGCGTTATCTCGGACATGACTCTAAACCTATCGTCAGTAGACGCCGAAGAAACGACACGGACACGAACTCGTACTTGGAAAGTGGGGAGGCGTATACAGAGTGGTTATTCGGGGTTTGATGTCATCCCTCGTCGATACACGACTTCTTATATACCCATAGGATAGAACGACCGAGAATCGAGGGCTCGAGCACATCGTAATGCGAGCAGCGGTTTCCCAATTCTAGAGCGTACGATGGGGTCAAGTGGACAAGTGGGGAGCTTCGGGGGGGAACGGAGGATGGGTCTAGAGCGCGTAAATCGTTAGAGATGTGGAGGGATACTGCCGCAGTGACGATGTCGGCCGACTAGCTCAGTTGGTTAGAGCGTCGTGCTAATATACAGTATATGTGCAGCTGTGTTACGCGAAGGTCTTGGGTTCGATCCCCACGTTGGCCACTTATTGAGTTTGGAAAAACATTTTTTTATCACAAATTTGCATTCCGATTCCCGAGTCACGAGTAGGGTTGCGCACGAAACCTCCAAGGGGGGGGTAACTTACCGTTTGTTACCTACCCCTCCTCAAGGGGGTGTTTTGATACGGTAATTTACCGTTACTTACCTATCACGTGCGCAATCACATGATGAACGCATGGTAACTGTAAATTATTTTTTCAGGACGTCCGTGTTTGTGTTTTAGGACATTTTCTTTGTCGAGGATGCTCTAAGTCATCTGAATATATTGCATATTCACTCCTGCACCACATATGCAGAATATACATGTAATTGTATTGAATTTTCATGCTTATCAGGCAGTCACATGATGTGTAAGTTACCTCGACGGAAAACCCCTCCAGCGAGGGGGGGTAACTTACCAGTAACTTACCGGTAATAAACCCAAGTGTAACGAAACCTAGGTTTCGTGCGCTACCCTAATGCTTTGCGACTTGTTCAATGTTCTAATGTGCAATGTCTATTGTTTGGTTATGATATTCGCCCGATATGGGCCATTGCATGATTTACGTTAAAGCGGCGGTGAAAATTCGGACATCCGAAGCATCTGTTAGGCTGGTTTGACTCCCAGACCAGCTTGGAGCTGTAAGTATATTAAGGGCCCTGCGTGGAACATGAACCAAGTCTCACATTTCAACAGTTCCTTGGAATATGCTGTATTTACATACTAGGGAATTTGGGACACCTACTTCAGTCCTTTCGTCTGGAGCGCCCCTTTTGTGTTGCAGACACCTTTCTACATCAACTTCACCCTCTTCCAATAAAAGCCGAGAAGATACAGTGCAACCAAAGAACACCATGCCAAGGCTTCGATTCCGGCATTGACAGCGGATATCGTAGTCGTCTATAAACCGAAGACTCTTTTCTTTTTCTAGCCATACTTCACGGTAAAGTCTTTCAGGTTACTTATTCCAGCCGTGAACAAGCTGTTTGGATGGGGTACGCTAGCGGCTAGATGGAGTGAGGGCTCAAATTCGAAACGCGAGGTTTTATCGAGGAAATGAATGCTGTCTGGTAGCCACGCCTTAAGTCGGAAACCAAGGGTTCATAATCCCAGAGACCAAGAAGCGGTAAGTTGACGGGACGAGTCGATACAGGCTGCAGGGTTAAATCTTGGCATTGACAATAATCAAGACGTCCAGTTCTTTTTTCAAACCGGAATACCTGCTCGCTGTTGCTTACATCTCAGGCCACAGATGTATAGATTGGTAGTATGAAACAGCTCTACACTCCAACGTCACGTTGCATGGGTTCGATGCTCCAGCATGTTCAAACTCTTAAGGTCTATCGTGTTATATACGTGAATAACTGGCCGACCAGTCTAGGAGCCATAAGATGGGTTCGACCCCCGTCAGCCGTATCGATGAAGAGCGGATGCACCATTTTTACCGGTCTCTGTTTTTATTTTTATTTTTCTAACGCGCATCAGAGGTAACCGATGAAATGACATGCTACCCCTTGATGGCGGCTAAAATCCCAAGGAAAACGTATCTTGCTCTTTTTGCAGCGACAAGTACCTATACATAGTGACACTTACTGAGACGGACGGTAAATACTTAACAAGTACACTCGATGGATATGAGGTCAATAGCTCGGGTTGAATGCTTCATCCCATGGGCAGTGATGTGGTTCGGAGAAGTATAAAGCGCTTCATCGTCGGCGGACTAGCTCAATAGGCTGAGTGTTAGCTTTACCTTGACTTCGGTCCCCACGTTGGCCACTAGAGTAAGCAGATACTTTTAGTGTTTCCGCCTCTTTCACATAGGCTGCTCAGAACTGATAATATACCAATTCATGTTTCTGTCTAATGCCCTTTATTAGCTTAGTCGGAGTGGCTTCTCTCCGGACAGCGGTGGAAATTTTAGACCCGGGGGTGTACCGATGCGACTATGGTATATACAGCGGTTGCCCCTCTCCGTTGATTAGTGTTGCTGAGATTAACTGGCGGGTTCCACTGGTGTCTTTGCTACTCAGCTTTCTGTGTACCTTCACCTTCAATGTACCCTCCGGGCTCTGTCGTTTTGAGGCGCCTTAGGAACGGAGTCTCGTAAGGCTCCCGGAGGCAGAGGACCCTTGGATAGTCGATAGAAGAATAGACCAAGTTTTGGCATACTTATTCGTGTAATGGTTGACTTGGTCAGGTGTCGTGCTAAGGATTTCGTCCCCGCATAAGTAATTACTTCAGTCTCAATAGGATCCAACTAGTCTTTTTAACCGGAGAGCTCATTTCCTAGTTACCAATACAGCGGGGTGAAGGATTTCACTTATATGCACCTCGTGGGCTATCGTTTTTACGGTTGTTACCTACTGTCGTTCCTTGCTCCAAGCCCTCAAATCCCTAAGGACGCGTCTTCTTAAGGCGACTGCATCTCGGCGTGGATGTATAAAAGACGCATGCCGGTCAAGTAGTTGATTGGTTAGAGCCTTGTATCGGTGGAACTCATGTATGTGGTTGATATTAATCGAAAATTATGGGGTTCGACTCACAAATTGGCCATGATACTCCCGGTTGTTTTTTATATAGTTTACCAATGCATGCCAGGCGATGGTGTCAGTCGTTTATTCATGAAGTACCCTTCGGTGAACCAAACCCGGAAGATAGATATTTCCCTTCTCGCAACATAACTTGAAACCCATATTTAATTGATAAGTAGAACAATGTACATTCGTCGGTGACTGAAGTGGTATAATACATAAGACGCCTGCCATGATCTACCATAAATCATAAACTTATATTATGTCCACGGAAGAAGAAAAAATAAGAATAGTCGGAACACTTAAGGATAAGTTATATTCACAGCTGGTCGGAGGTGAGGTTCCCATAAATCGGACAGAGTTGGTCCCAGGCAGCTGTCATATTTGTTTCTTAGTATTTGTCAAGTCCGAGACTAAAAAGACGCTCGTACTCGGTGGGTTTTGCGTCTCGATCGTGGCGACATCCTCAGCGAACACGACCGCAAGTCCGCTAGGAAAGGTAAATTAGCACGGGAAAGAACAGGAAGTAAATAACGACTCACATTTCCAGATGCCAGTCGATATGGCTGACGGAACATGGTTAGCATTCGTACTGTCTTTCAGCGCGAGGTAAGATATTTACCAGTGCAAGAACCAGGGTCCGGCATTGTCCGTTGTGAAACGGATAGTGACATTGTCAGTGCCAGAACCAGTCGATACGACGTCACGGCGGACCTGGGGAGTACAGTTAGTTATCACACACAACAGAAGGAAGTGAGGAGGACTTACTGGGTTAGCGTAGTTGTAGTCGGTGCTCCCTGCGCTTCGTACGACGTCAAAGGTGTGCTAGAAAAAGGGTTCATTAGCAGATCGGCGGACAGTAGAGAAGTATCTTACACCGTGAAGATGGAACGGGTGCTGGCACAAAACGTCAGACTGGGAGCGCGTCACGAGAAAAAGCGACACGTACAGGTCCACCAACCGCCAAAGCCGGAGCGCTTATCTCAATGACCTTATTCGGTGGGAGAGTATAAACGCTCCCAGAAGGAAGCAGATTCTGCGCTGAGCTAGCTCCACTCAAGATCTGCAAAAGTACTGGTGCGGTGGGCGGAGTAAAGGACGCGCCATTCACTGTGAATCTGAAGTTGGTGATATCAAACGCGAGGGCTAGGTTAAGCGTGATGTCCGCCCCGCCAGCTTGTGCCAACCCAGGGGCACCGGGATTCTCGAGAGGGTGGAGGTTCGTCTCAAGGAGTGGTATGACACTCGTCGTCTGGTTACTCGTCGGGTCCCCTGAAGGTGCCCCGACGTAATGCACCACACCCGAGTTGATCCCTCCCTGGAAACCTTGCGTTCCGAGGTTCGGGCTGGCGCGCATCCAGTAGTTCCCGATCCTTTGATTTGCGTTGAGGATAAGGGAGTACCGCTGTCCGGCGAAGATCTGGACGGAGTCGACGACGAGAGGCTGCGTGTTGACGCCATCGGCTTCGATGACGGTGAAGTTGTGTGAGTCGATGGAGAATACCCAGTTCGGGTCGCAGGAGGCGGCCACGAGGCGGAGGCGGTAGCGTAGTCCGTGGACGACGTTGAGTTGGAAGAGGTCGGAGGTCGGCTGGATTGATGGTCAGAAACGGAGGGTGTGAGAAGGAGATGAGAAGTACTTACGCCACCTGCGTAACGTCCTTTACCTATTTTGAAATTAGGAAATTAGGGTTGATATGATGAGTTTGTTCTGACGTACCGTTGATCAGGGTAGCATCGAAGACGGGTACTGGTCCCGCTGCGAGGGCCGGTGTGTGGTACCTAGTATGTTTCGTCATGAGAACTGTACGTTCGACAGTCGGCAGAAGGGAGGTGTTCACCAGTCTGAAAGCGTGATCACAGTTGCCTCTAGAATACGTGTCAAAAGGCGAAAGATCGGAAGGGAAACTTTTTCATACCGGTGTCAATATCGTAACGCAATCGGTGAGGATCAAAGAGGTCGTAAACGACCATAGGTCCTCGTAGACCATCACAGTATTGCGTAGCTGTGAATGTGGTGTCACCATTCCAAACGTAAGAAGATGCAAACGGAGGAGGGCGTACAGAGATGAGAGTGATACCAAAATGTTCCCGCCTGATCAGGAACTGTGAAGTCGTATAGGAACGAGTGGTTCTAGACAGGATCAGTGTCTGAAGAGCGGAAATGGAGGATTTTCACTCACGGCAGCGATGGGGCATTGGTTAACGAAACTAGGCCTATGGTCGTGGGAGCAGTGAGATGCGAAACGTTAGATGTCTATTATATACTAACCCATCAGCCCAGGAGGATCCCTTCTGAAATAGACCATGCCAGTGCTATTATTACGGTCGTCAGAGAAACTAGACAGCACATCAAAACGAAGAGACTACTTACGATACTGGTGCTTCTCAACATCGTATTATCCGTCAATCTATCAATGACGTTGATCCTGAACCTGTCGCCCTGGAAGAAAAAAAAATGAATGAGAGCA